AGAAGCCTTTCCGGGAAGGCTGTCTTTGGGTGAGGTGGGAGGGTGGTGCGGGAGATGAGAAGACTCTGGGGCCCAGGGTCACAACCCTCCCTCAGTATTGTCCTTCCTGGCTTGTGGCAACTTCTGGGTGAGCTTTGGATCTGACAGTTTCAGGGTGAATTTATTAAAGTTAAGGGTATTAATAATAAAAGAATATAAACTAGATTTTATCTGTGACACGGATACTCATAACCACGTGGTATGTTCTCTGTGCATGGCTGGTGTGTGTGAGTGTGTGTGTGTGTGTGTGTGTGTGATGAAGAGAATGAGAATGAAAGAGGGAGATCTGTCATAACTTGATGTTTGGGGGACGCCTGGATGGCTCAGTCGGGTTAAGCATCTGCCTTTGGCTCAGGTCATGATCCCAGGGTCCTGGGATGGAGCCCCACATCGGGCAGGGAGCCTGCTCCTCCCTCTGCCTGCCGCTCCCCCTGCTTGTGCTGGCTCGCTCTCTCTGACAAATAAATAAAATCTTCAAAAAATATGACTTGATGTTTGGAAAAAATGCCACTTTTCCCCTTTGCTCACAGTTTCCTTTTGACCCCTGAGAAGATTTTTGGTTGTATTTATCACCATACAGCTGCCAGCCTTGGAACGTGAGAACCCAGGGGAGGAAGTGGAGCCAAACTCTGCTCACTCCTCTGGGTGGCTGGAAGGCACCGAGCAGAGGGAAAGGGAGACTGCTTTCTTTCCTTTTCCCTTTCTAGCCCATCTGACCTTTCAGTGGGACCTGTGTCCTGCTCCCCTCCTCTCTTTTGCCCTGAGCAGAGGAGGGAGATAGATGGGATTCTCCCTGGGGTGGGGGTGGGGAGCATGGAACTCATGCCTTCCAGGCCAGCTTGGTCCTGGGGTCTGGGGGCGGGGGAAGGGCACGGGGCCATTCTCTGACCCCTGGCTCCCCCTGCCCTTGCCCTTGAAGGCCTGTGTGTATCATCCACCTCAGGCTCCTAGGCTCCCAGGGTCTCTGATGGTGGAGTCCCCCCTTGTCTCATCCCAGGCCTGGGAGGCAGGAAGTGGCAGCAGAGGGTGTTCCCCTCTCTGGAATGACCTCCCAGCTCTAGATAGGACAAATGACTTGCTTAAAGTGAGTAGTAGCCAGTTAGAGTCAGAGTCCTAGTCAATCCAGTGACCTGCCATCTAGAAATAGATTGTATTTGTTCTCTCTGGTTGGGAGGCGGGAGGGGCTGGAAAAATTCTGTTTGGCTGGTCAGGTAGTCCTGGGGTACGGGATATTCCTGTGGGCACCGGCTGAGTTCCCCTTGCCCTGAGTCTGCCCAGGAGCTGGGGGCATAGGGAGCAGAGCCCAGGAAGGAGGGAGGGAGTGGCCAGGATTGGGGGGGTGGGGTGGGGTGGGGAGGCAGAAAGGGAGGGAAAGGGCTTGGGGACAGAGGGAGCCGGAGAGTGAGCAAACAGTGTCCTGGAAAACAACTTGTTTCCCCTTCCAGGAGCCCTGCCTGCCTGCCTTCCCCACTAGAGACAGTAATTTAGAATAACGAGTCATAATTTGATTACATTCTCTTCCAGCCTCGCAGAGTAAACAAGGTTCTCCGTGGAGGGAAGGGGCAGCAGGACCCAGGCTTCTGTCACACTCCCCTGAGCCTGGACAGGGGTTTCCCCTCCTGTCGCTGTCCCTCTTTTCCTGGGTGTGCTTGAAACACTGGTGGGCAACTTCAACCCCCATTTTTTACCGAGCCTTCCATTGTCCTTCTGGCTCCTATCCCTTCCTCTCTGCCCTCCCTGATCATGTCCCCACCCAGAAGCCTGCATGCCGTGTAAATATTTAAACCCATCTATTACTTCCTGTTTATTAGTGGTGTAAATCCTGGGCTCATTCATTGTGCATCTGTCCTGCTGTATCTTATCTCAGAAGGGGAGGCCCAAAGAGAGGGCCACGTGTCTGCTCTTCCCTGGGAGTAGCCTCCCTCAGGCCTGTCCTCAGCTGTATGACCAAGTTTGACTTTGAATGTTTTTCCCCCATGTTTTGCTTTATTGTGGTAAAGTATGCATAACATAAAATGTCACAGCTGAGTGTAAAGCTCAGCTGTATCAAATACATTCTTTTTTTTTTTTTTTTAAGATTTTATTTATTTATTTGACAGAGAAAGACACAGAGGGAACACAAGCAGGGGGAGTGGGAGAGGGAGAAGCAGGCTCCCCACTGAGCAGGGAGCCAGATGCGGGGCTCGATCCCAGGACCCTGGGATCATGACCTGAGCCGAAGGCAGTCGCTTAACCAACTGAGCCACCCAGGCGCCCTCAAATACATTCTTGATCCTGTGCAACCATCACCACCATCCATCCCCAGAAATCTTTTCATCTTATAAAACTCAAACTCCCTCCCTGTAAATACTAATTCCCCATTCTGTTTTCCTCTCGGTCCCTGGTGAGTATGTTCTACTTTCTGTCTCTATGATGTTGATTACTCCAAGTACCTCATATGAGGGGAGTCACACAGTACAATTTGTCTTTTTGTGCCTGGCTTATTCCACTTAGCATAATGTCCGCAAAGTTCATCCATGTTGCGGTGTAGGTTAGGATTTCCTTCCTTTGGAAGGCCGAGTAATATTCTGTTGTGTGTAGACCACATTTTGCTCCTCCATTCATCCATCACGGACATTGGGGGTGCTCCCACGTTTTAACTGTTGTGACTAATGCTGCTGTGAACACAGGTGTACAAATCGGCTTTTATTTTTTTATGATAAAAGGCTACCTTGTATTGCTTGCTTGCTATACACTCAGAAGTGTGCAGACTTAATCACTTAATTATCACAAGTACTTGCCAGGTGGCAACTATTCTGTTTTATGGATGAAGAAATTGAGGCTCTGAGAAGCCAGTTTGCTCAAGGCAGAGAAAGGGGGAGCGAGGACCAGTACCTGTCCATGCTTCTAGCCATGGCCTTTCACTGCACTGTGTTGATAATGGACTTCAAGAAGGAGTCTCAGCGTATATTACCAGTCCTGCAGCCCCATGAAGGACAGACTCTGTCCCCGACCCTCTTCCCAGTGAGAGGCTCCATCCTCCTGCCCCAGACAGGGCAGCCTGGACACAGGACCCTGTGGGGCCCTGGATGGACCTATGAAGCCCAGGCAGACCCTAGAATGAAAGAGCATCTGATAGCCTTCAGGCTGCCGGCATTTCTGTTGTTGCCTCCCCATCAAGGGTGAGGGCAGTGAGGTGGAGGGCACGGGTCAGTGCGTCATTAGGAGGGTGGGGAGCGGAGGGAGTGGGGAGTCCTGGGGCCCCACAGGGTGGGGTCAGGGCAGTCATCATCCATCCCCACCCCCAGCTCTCCCCTGTGACTATAGCATGTCTCTCCTTGATGTCCCTGCCCCAAGTCCCACTCATCATCTCCCCACCCCCACCCCCACCTCCCCCAGTCTCCCTGAGGGCCCTTGAAATCCAGGCTGGCATCCTGGTCTAGAGAATTTCCAGGCTGGGCTCTACCCTAAGGTATCGAGCCTAAGGGGCTGCTTGTAGGAGAGCACATTGGGGTGAGGGGGCTCTGGGCTCTGTCAGCCTGTCCTGGATTCCTTCCTCTGAGCCAGCCTTGAGCCAAGAACTCCAAGGTCTGTGTGGGAGTAGCAGTGGGTCAGCTCAGTTCCCACGGCAACATGCAGGGTGGGGGCTGGGGCCCCGGCAGATGGAGGCCTGCCCTGGGCCCTGGAAGACAGGTTAGCTGCTGCCTTGCTGTGTGACCTTGGGCCGTTCTCCTCCCTGGGTTATAAAGGGTTTGGTCCACATCACTGGTTCTCAAACTGCCCTTTGGAGAGCTTTAAAAACTACTCTTGACTTGTTTTCAGCCTCAGAGATGCTGATTTATTTGGCGTAGTTTGTGGCCTGAGCATCAGGATTTTTAGATGATCCTCAAGTGATTCGTATTTATAGCCAAGTTGGAGAATGACCGTTCTAGATAAGTGCAACCTCGGGGAGGTAGTGCAGCCTAGTTGTTGACTACATGGCCCATTTGTGAATTGACTACTTACCCACTACTGTGTAATAAGTGTTTAGACAGTGCCTGGCACATAGTAGATATTCAGTAAGCGTTTATTGAATAACCAAAAAGAGCCAGACTCTGGGTTTGAATCTGCATGGGAGACAGCGTGGGAACTTTCTTTGCTCTACTTGCTTTGTTTTGCAACATGGGGACAGTGAATAGAACTTACTTCATAGGATTAATATGTATGAAGCCTCGAGACGGTGACTAGCATACGCTAAGCACTCCATAAAAGTTTGCTGCCATTTTAAATCTCTAACCTTATTTTCGGGCCCCGCCTCCCCCATGAAAGGCTCTCTCTTACTCTCCTCTGTGCCCCTGCTGGGGTTACAGCTGATACTAGTGGGGGCTAGCTGGATCCAGCATTGCACATCTTTGGGGCCTAGGGCAGTGTCTGGACCAGCCATGCAGGAGGTCATCACCCTTTCCCTTCCCTTAACATGTAAAACATGTAGACAGAGTCTTGTTTGGTACAAAGGGCAGGAGGGGCTTGCAGACCATGACGTTGACCGACAAGGCCCAGAGTTCTCTCCTTCAGATCCTTCTTCGCCCTGCCAGCATGGTCTTTCTAAGCCAGAAAGAAGACCACGTCACTCTCTTGCTTACTATGCCTCCGTGCTTCTCTGGCCCTTGCAGCGTGAGCCTGGGGCCCTGCAGGGGCCTGTGTGGTGCCCAGCCTTCTGTCTCCCTCCTCTCTCCATCCCTCATCTGTGGCTGTACTTCTTGGACTTCATATGCCAGTCAGCCCAGATGACCCGCAGTCTCCCACAACAGGAAACATATTCTGTCCGGGGAGAGGTGGGCTCCGGCCGAGGCCTGGAAAGCTCATGCCCGCCCCTGCCCCCCTGCCCTCATTCACTTTTCTTTTAAGGTTCCGTACAAATGTTGCCTCTTTTAAGAATCCTTTGCTGACTCTTCCATCAACTGGGCTCACGGATTATTTAATTATTGTGCTTCCTCATTCAGGTGCTGCTTTGTCCACCAGAAGGGTAACTGCTAAGTGGGCCTGCGTCTCTGGTGCCCGGCGTGGGGCTTGCGGCTTCGTGAGCTCAGTGAAAGTTTGTGAGGTGAAGAACGGATAGATGGGTGGATTTGCTGGCCCGTGGACTCACTGGTACCTTGTACCTGCACAGCTGAGGCTTGTTGCACCCTCAGGGGACGTGGGAGCACCTATGCTTGGGCCAGGACTTCTGTGAGCACACACTTGGGAGCACGGGCAGTGGGGAAGGGGGCCAGGCCCCTTTGGGGTTGGCCCTTTGGGAGCTGGAAAGGCCCTGCCTTTTTCTGCCCTTTGCCTGCTTCCCGATAGCCTCACCGGGGGCCTCTGACGGCTAAGCAGGGATTTGGGGTCAGATCAATATTTGTCTTTCTTCAGGAGCTGCCCTGCTCCCTACCTTGAACCTCTGGCATTGGCAGTGGCTCCATGCTGGACCCAGTGAGGGACGCCACCCGTAGACTTCTGCTGTTAAGGCTCTCGGCGTAGGTGAGAGCCAGAAGACGGTGAAAATCTTGGAAGGTGATCTTGTCCAGCTTACTGCTTCCAGCAGGCCTGGACTGAGAGCGGTCTGCCCTTTCCTTTGGAAGTCTCTGGAGGGGTGCCTGAGTGGCGCAGGCGATTAAGCGTCTGACTCGTGATTTCGTGATCTCAGGGTTGTGAGATGGAGCCCTGAGTTGGGCTCCACACTCGGCGGGGAGTCTGCTTGAGATTCTCTCTCTCCCTCCCTCTCTCTGCCCCTCCCCCCATGCTCTCTCTAAAATAAATAAATAAAATCTTTAAAAAAAAAGTCTCTGGGGGTGTGTGGGTGGCGCAGGCGATTAAACATCTGCCTTCGGCTCAGGTCATGATCCCAGGGTCCTGGGATCAAGCCCCTCATGGGGCTCCCTGCTCAGCCAGGAGCCTGCTTCTCCCTCTGCCTCTTGCTGCTCCCCGCCCCGCTTGTGCTCTCTCACTCTTGCTCTCTCTCAAATAAATAAATAAATAAAATCTTTAAAAAAAAGTCTCTGGAGGGAGTCTCCATAAGGCCTTCCCCCACTTCTCAGTCCCAAGCTCTGGCTGGGCTCCACCCTCCCCATCTCATTTGTGCAGTGGCTGGGCTGGATAGTGTGGCTTATATTGTGGCCACGTGAGACAATTTGAATAATTGGGAGCATATATTCTGGGCTCAGACTGGGTTCAGATCCCAGCTCTGCCACCTATTAGCTGTGATGTCGGGCAAGTCCCTCAATCTTCTGTGTCTCGGTTTTCTTGTCTATACAATGGGAATGATAGTAAGGCTGTCATTGCGAAGATTGAAGGAGTTAATGCATGAAAAGCATGTAGAGGAGTACCCAGCACGTAGTAAAATGCTCAAAAAAGGTGAGCTGTTCTTATTCCACAGCAGCTGTCTTCCCGGAGACTTGACGTGGTGTGCATGCAAGCACCTGTGATTCGGGGGTTAAGGGTGGACGAGACAGGTGCCTGCCCTCCAGAAACTCACAGTCCAGATGGGAGGCTGGCACCAAAACAGATCCGGCAAAGAAACGAAAGGGCCGTTTAATGCAGAAGTAGCTGCTCTTTCGGCTTTCTAGAAATGTGCTATGTTTCATGTTAGGGAAGTGGTTCTTTTGTGGGGAACACACAGCAATGGGCCCCTTGGGTGAGAAAGGAATGGCCTGAGTGGGTGAAGATGAGGTGAAGGAGAGTGAAAGTTTCGCATGACCTGAGGTGTTCAGAAAACTGTCACGTCTGGGGCAGCTGGGAGGAGAGCGCTGGGGGTAGGGTCCTCCAAAGAGGGCCAGTGGGTGAGGACCAGCAAAGAAATCTCCAGGGAGAAGTCTCATCTCAATTTTTAAAAAATTGTTTTTTGTTAGTAGGGAATATGTTTGCATATTTCAAAAAGTTAAGTGCACGGGGGTGCCTGGGTGGCTCAGGCCATGATCTCGGAGTCCTGGGATGGAGCCCCAGCCTTCCTGCTCAGCGGGGGGTCTGCTTCTCCCTCTGCCCCTCACCCTGCTTGTGTTCTCTCTCTCAAATAAATAAATAAAATCTTAAAAAAAAAAAAATGAAGCACACAGAGGTGTATACGCACAATGAAAGCTCTCCCTCCACCCCTGCCCCTGGGCCATTAAGCTTACCGCCAGTTTCTCATGTGGCTTCCTGGAGATCTTCTATGTATATAGGGCAACTCTATGTAAACATATTTTCCTTCCTGCTTTTCCCCCTTTCTTTTGCAAATATGTCATTCACAGGACCCTGCACCTCACTCTGTATTTACTCAGCATTTGCTTAGCTTTGCATTTCCTTAGTGATCAGCCCGGGAGCAGCAGGGCTTTCTGGTTTTCTGACAGCTATGCTGTGCTCCACTGGGTTTGTGTACAGAGGTTTATTTACCCAGAGTCCTACTGTCGCACCTCCATGGTCAAGTCACTTCCTGCTCTGTGCCATAATTTCCCCTTGTACCCTTGAATCTTCAGGAAAGTCAGCCACACAGACGTGGGCCTGGTGAGGCTTAGGAGTGGATCTAAGTAGCTGCACGGCAGAGGGCTTCACGAGGCAGAGGGCTTCACGAGGAAAGGTGTGAGAGGACGCCCCATGCCCAGCCCTCAAAGATGCTAGGAAGGGCTCTGACTCCCCACAATGTGTGGAAGGGGGCGCGAGGCTTCCTCCAGGATGTCATGGGAAAAGGTAAATCAAGGAGGCCCAAGGTCAAGCAAGCATTCGGATTTGAGATGCCTGGGTTACTCAAATAATGGTCACATAATTAGAAATGTAGCCAAATATGATAGTACAGGTTGAATACTGGAGCTAGAAGGGCCCTTGGAGACCACTGAGCACTCCTCCCTTATGGTCATAATAACACAAATACCTAATATTTATTGAGCCCTTCCTCTGTGCCAGGCAGCATTCCAAGTGTTTGTGCTGATTAACCCATTAAATCCTCACACTAAACTTTGAGGTGGATGCTACCACTATCCCCGCTTCAGATAAAGGAAGTGAGACACAAAGAGGATACATAACAGTCCCAGGTTCACAAAACTAGTGAGTGAAGAGCCGGAAATCAAGACCCGGGAGTCTGGTGGGGAGCCCAGGCTCTGAAGCGTCACACATTCTACCTCTTACACAGGTGAGGAGACTGAGCCCAGAGCAGGTGCTCCACAGCAAGTTGAGGGCAGAGCCTGGGGGTCTAGAATCCACGACCCCTTTTAGGACCGTCTCTCCAGCACACTGCCTCAGTTTGCCTGATGTACTGGGGAGCAGGGCGGTGTAGGGAGAGGGCCAGCAGGGGTGTGGCTCTGTGGGGATGAAGAGAAAGGCTGTGATTCATTCTGGGTGGCGGTCAAGAGGACGTCCTGGTGCTTGGGGTCATGTTGAATACCTGACATTACAGGTGGGTCCGGGGTGTGTCCCGAAGACCCTTACTATTGATTCAAGAGATATATCTGACTCTCAGTGCTCTTCCAACTGTGGTTTGTCCATTTGGTGGCTTCTCTGTGGCCCAAACTGGCTCCTTGCCCTGTCCCCAAACCTACCAGGTCCCTCTCTCTGCACCTATCATCAGTGGTATCACTTTACCACATGAGCAGGCCCTACAGTGGTTTTGGGGGTGGGAGGCATTCACTCAAGGAAGTAAAGAAACCACGTGCAGGTTAGAACAGTGTACAACACCGTGAAGACTCCTGATGTTCTCAGCGCCCCCCCGCCCCCCATCGAGGTCTAATGGAAGTGACTTGGGGGTTGGAGATGATAGCTTCAGGACTCTCTGACCTCTTCCACAATGGGGCACTTCTAACAACTCTCCTAGTTAGGCTGTGGATCTCCCCACCTTGCTGATCCCTGCTCCCCAGTCACAGCCCAAGCATCTGTCTGTCTGCAGCTCTGAGCTCGCCTGCGAGTCTATCTGTGATTGAGAAATCAAGCCCATTCTGGTTGGTGAAGACTGTGATGGTAGCAGGGCGACCACCCCATCTCTGCTTCCGCCTGTTCTTCCTGGTCCCAGCATGCTCCGTGTGCCCTTCCATAGCTCTGCTCATGTTGGACTCGCCCAAGTGTTGTGAGCAACTCGAGGGCAGCTGAGTCTCCCAGCCCCCACCACAGCACTTGGCACTTAGTAGGCACTCATTAACGCCCGTGCAAGTGATGAGTAAGTCCTCCAGCCTGCCACTGGGTTTTGGAGGAACCCTGCATCCCCTCTGTTCTCTAAGTCTGGCCCCTGCTGAGCACCCCCCTTCCTGACTCCCAAAGGAGCTTGCGGTTCTATCTATCCTGCCTTCTTTTTTTTTTAAAGGTCTATTGAGATGTCATTCACATGCCATACAGTTCACCCACTGAAAGTGACAATCCAGTGGTTTTAGTCTAGTCGCAGAGTTGTGCAACCATCTCCACAATCAGTTTTAGAGCATTTTCATCACCAGCCAGCCTGTCTTTTGGCAGCACCCACCCTCTCAGCTTTCAAACACCCACAGGTCTTCCTCAGCTTAAAAAAAAAAAAAGGCTCTCTTAACCCTGCTCTGAACTCTGTGACCATTGTGCAATATGTTTCCCTCTTTTCATGACTAAACTTCTTGAATGAGTGGTTCACACCCACTGCCTTAATTTTCTCAGATTCAATAAACATTTTTAAAAAGCATCTACAAAGTGCTAAGCCAGAGGTTTTCATATATATCATCTCACTTAATCTTCAAATTCTGCATGACCTGGGAATTATCTTATTTTAGAGGTAAGAAATCCAAGACGGAAAAGTGACTTTTCCAAGGGGCGTGGCAGGATTTGAACCCAGGTCTGCATGAATGCAGAGTTGGTGCTTTGTCCAGCTACATACCATCCGTGCTACAAAATCCAGCTGCACAGTTGACCTGCTGACCTGCCCATTCATCATTTGGGTGAGGTGCTTCTTGAATCCCACCACTCCTCAAATGACCTTGCTGGTGCAACCAGATTCATGCCCTTTATGCCAGGCTCATTCTTTTCTCCAAGACTTTGTTCAAGCTGTGCCTTTCACTGGGCATCCTTTTCCTTCCTCCCTTCGGTGTTGGAATATCTGAAAATCCTTTTTTAAAAGATCTGGCTCAGATCTACTTTCTCCATGAGAACTCGCTGTATCTTTGATCAAGCCTACCTGCTCTGGGGGGCTATAGCTTGTCCTGTTCCTTATCTAACAGCTTGGTCTTGTTGAAATTGTCATGGGTGTGGTTCTAAATCTCCTGGGATTCTGGAACCACATGGGCAGCCTACCACCCTACCTTGCTGTGTCATGGAAGGAGCAGGTACTAAGGAAGTGTTCTGGCAGAAAGGAAAGAGAGAAGGCAGGCAGGCAGGCAGGCAAGCAAGATGGAAGGAAGAATGTGGGGGTGATATGGTGGTAATGATAGTGAGGATCTCAGGAGATATGGATGCAAAGGTGTTTTCAATTGTGAAATGTATTTTAAGGGCAAAGTAAAACTTGTCTAAGCCACACAACCATATGTTGTGTGCTCAATGATTACTATTTGCATTAAGTTGAATGACCGCCCT